AAAGCAAATCAAACACCTGCAGTAAGGAAGCAATCTGCACCTCAACACTGGGCAGCTACAAAGAACACAACCACAGCAATTTCCAGTGACGTTGCAGACTGCTAGTGCCATTCCCTTAAGGCACTCAAGGGATTATTTGGGTATAATTCATCTCATTATAGTAAAAGATGTTTCAAAGATGCTCAGGCTAAGGAAAAGGAGTATATGCTTCTGGTAGACAGCAAGGGTCCCACGCGACTGAAAAAGGTAGATCTTGGTTAAGCTCAATACCTTCTGACTAGATACTTGACTGAGTAGAGAAAGTCACACGGAGCCCTGATTGGGATACTTTCCAGCAGCCCCTAGAGAAAATAAGGATGCTTCACCTTGTGGCCACAACCAAAAGAGGAGCAGCACAGCAGGAAAGCAGCTGAAAAGTTAATGGTCATGTATTCTCCAGCAAAAAAAGGGCAGTGGCTATCCTTTCTCTAGAATTACCAGCTGTACAAGATCAGTTTATCAGAACTGAACTTACGAAGTTCTCTCTTTTTTTGGTTAATAATGATTTAACAAGTCACTGGAATAAAGAAAACACAAGAGGGCTCCAAACGATACCAGTGCTCTACGAGGCTGCAGTGCTGTAGGCACTACACTGAAGTCTTCCAGCAGTCTCTAGGAAGCTTATGGATCTGCAGGTTTTGTAGCAACTTCTCAAGCTGCAACCTGGCTGCAGAATTTCTACAATCTCAGCTTCATTTCAGCTCAAAAGATGAAGTCATCTATTTGGAAATGAAAGTAGCCCTAGACCCAGAAAGCCAAGTCAGCTACCACGACGCAACAAAGTCTTTCAGGAGATCCTACTCAATCAACATACCTCAGAGCTGACCACTCCAAAAATGTCTCGGACATCACGCACAGGATGCTTGTTCTTCCTCCTCCGAGAGCGGGAGTAGGTATCCAACCGCCGCTGCACAGCAGCAGCCTGGGTCTTGGTCAGGGTGGAGAGCAGCACAATGTTGTCGTTTTCCGAGGCACGGTCCCCGAGGAGGTCGGACAGACCCGCGTCCTGGAGCCACTCGGCTTCAGCTTCTCCCTCTGCGAGGCAAGGGATGAGAAGGGCGAGTGAGAAGAGAAAGGATAACAGCAATCTGAGTGCTTGAAACACTTCAGAGGCAGAAAACCAGAAGCCTGAGCCATCCCCTTTCTGGGGCGGCAATGGGACAACACTGGAAGGCAGCCGCATCTTTGATAGGAAGCCACGGCTATTCTCAAAATCTTAGCCCTATTCTCAGGTACCCAGCTGGGCATCAGGGTGAAATCAGAGGAGAGACAGCACTTTAGGCAGCTACAACTGCCCACATACTCCCTTCTCCTCACCCTAGGTGAGGAAAAAGAAGAAAAAATTACGGAGGCATGGACATTGCCAGGAACCTATGCTCCCTCAGAAGCTGGGCAGAAGGTGGGCACGAGTGACTCTACATGGTATTTAGCACAAGGATTGCAACAGGAACTGAACCCAGTGGGGGCTTTCACAGGACGTGAGGGGAAAGTCAGATGCGCTTGCTTAAATCTGCTTTTAAATGGGCTGCCTGCACGAAGGGGACTCTGGCCGCAGGCAATAGCGCACAGCAAACTCGGAATGAATGGCACCGCCTCGCTCTGCGGCACACCCCATCCTCCGACATCTTTGAGGAGGGACAAAAGGTCTGTGGGAAGTCACAACATACAACACTGCACATTTGGCTTTTGTACTCTTCCCAGTTACTTGGCTATTTCTTTTAATTTTTATTTATCTATATGCATGCCTATGTATCAACAACTGTTTTTCTAAAATATCCAGACACTGGTAGATTCATATGTATTTTATTTAATATACACTCAGAACTATTTGTATGCACCATCCTTATTCTTTACCTTTTTAAGTGGATTGATATCCATACAGTCATTCAACAAAAGCAAAAACGTTATTCTTGCTCTGTGAATTCGCTTTATGTCTGTGCCTATTCAAAACATCACTAAAATTAGAGACCATTCCAGTTCCAGAATGAAGTGTGAGAAGCCTGGAGACAGTACAGCAACATTACTCAAACAACTCAATTCCACTTCATTCTTCAATATATATAGAGTTGCACTTCAAACACAGAAGACAATTTTTTCCTTATGGGATGCACCCTTTGTGCAAGTGAGAAAGTGCCCTGAGCAAGGCAGCTACTTGAAATCCAAGGATAAAAGAAGCAATTTAGCAGGTGGCTTCAACTTTAATACAGCGAACATCACAAAGCCTTTATTTTTCAATCCTACGTACTACATTCATTCACTGCAGACAGCTCCAGCATAGCTCTACCAAAGGTTATGCTGGGAAAAAGAAAAATCACAACTGAACTGACTGAAACAGAAGAGTTCATTCCCACTCTTTCTTTCCCATGCAAACTGATAGCTCCTCAGTTACCACAGCTGCTCAGGCAAAGTTTTATTATTGCTCCATCAGTAATAAAAAAGCCATGCAGGTCTCCTTGAGAGATTAAATAATTTCATTTTTCTGGGGAAATTTCTGTGTTCATGCAACTTGCAAAAACATATCGTGACCCCATTAAAACTCTTTCCAGTCTTCAGAGCATGCTCTTTGTGTTCTTGGGCGCTGTAATGTAACAGAACTTTTTTCAGCATCACATCACAATAAATAGAGTTGGACTTGAAGTCAAGTATTTTCTTTAACGAATCTTCTAGCAAACTGGCTAGCTTTCCTACACGGTTTTAAGTTTTGGTCATTGCCCGTGTCTGGTTCTAGAGAAGCTAACAGGTAAGAGCAGCCCCCGGCACTGCTCGCTGGGCTACCGCGCACTCGTGGTCCCGTCCATCACTCCCCGCTGTACAGCTATTTGTCCTACATCTGTGGTTTCACAGCAGCACAGCAAAAGACTTCTGGTTTATTTTGTCTTTGGGAACTAAAGGAAGTTAAGTGTATTGCTTGCAAATTTTGAAAAAACCTAATTCCAGTCATAACAGGAAACTAATCTAATACACAATACTAAACAGCAGGCCCTAAATCGGACATCCGTGTGAGCCTACTGCCCCATCTGATGCCAAAGCACCAGATTTTAATTCCTCTCTTTAATATTTTTGGCCCAGTTATGTTTGCCAGTAACGCAAAAGGAAACCAGCAAAACAGGTTATTTATGGGGAGAAGGGAGAAATCGGAGAGAAACAGGTCAGAACTGAGAGGTCCACAGAAGCTGAGCCACAGGTTTAAGCCTGGAAAGCTGCTAAGATTTGCCTTGTGAGTTCCAGACAAGCAGCATTTCAGGGGGGACACAATTAGGAATAAATTTGCACAACTAGAGAACACTAGTTCCAAAAACCTACTTGAAACATAAGCTAGCCAAAAATAGCATTCATAATAAAGCATTTAATTTCAAAAAAAGCTAAAGGACAGCTAAGCATCCTATAATTTCAGACTAAACATGAAGCACAACTTCCTACATAGTTTTTGAAGGTAAAGAATCACTCTTTGCAGACGCTTCTCAGACATATCGCATGCTATAAGGATGCTAGCAGATATTTTAGCGGCACTACCGTGCACACGTTATCAGTCTGCTGTACAGTCAGACCTTGGAGAAAGCTGGATAAACAGCAAGGAAAGGACATTGCTGCTCCATATTTCAGGAAAAAGCTACTTCCTACCCGCTTCAACTGTTAGTGAGGCCACAAGTACCATCACTTCTGCTGACCCAGTTGTTCTGCACAGTTACACGCTGGCCTCCCACTAACACCAGGTCACAAGCAGCTTCCCATTACACCACCCCTTACACAGGCTCGCACGGGAGACCAGCGTTCTCCAACTGGGTCAGCATTTTTGCAACGCCTTATCTACACGTAGCCTGCCCGCTGTCCCTGCACTGCGATTACGATCAGCTATTTGCCAGGTTGAGCCATGCCGTCTCCAGACAGAGCTGATAGCCGCTGCCCAAGCGCAGCTTCTCGGGCTTTATGCAAAGAGCGATGCTGCCTTTGGCTCCGAGGAGCCCTGGAGCCTCTGTGCTGCCTTGCCACCTCGAGGTGCTCCGACCATAAATTGCAGAGACTCGAAAGCTAAAAGGCACCAGTCAAGTCCAGCTTCCTGCATCCACACCACCTGAAGTTTCCCCTCGCTGCTTACGCTTCCAGCACAACACCGATTTGACTAAGCTCCCTTGCAGAAGGCACCGGGAGGCTGAGCCTGCCGCACCTCCTTCCCCAGCCTGCCGGGAAGGCTTCATTACTCGGAGCATTATTTCAAGTCTGTCTGGTTTCAGTGGCCCATTAAGCAGTCAGCTCTTGCCTGCTAGATTAATATACAGCATTAAAAGACACTTTTCCTTGTGTTAAACACACTAATCGAATTGCCTCTAGCGTATCAGTGTTTCGGATATCCCAGACAGCCTTTCATCTCATGGCACGGCCTCTTTTCCAGAGTCTCCTTCCTGGTGCGCTCATTTTCTGACTCACTTTTGCATCTCTTCCAGTTCTAAAAAACAAACTTACATCCTTTATGCAGGGACACTAACAGCAGACCTTAATATTTACTGTGCCCTGCCTATGGCAGACACAGATGATGATCTTCCCACCCTGCTCTCCAGAGCCACCTCTAGGCACCCAGGACAGCTATTTACCCTTCCCAAGCACGGCAGCACACTGGGACTTTCACTCAAACATTTCCCCATTTACATACATGGATCCTTCTATCAGGTCAGCACAACAGCCGCAGGCTGTACGGGCTGCAAACCCGACCACCCAAGAGGATGTACAGCCAACTAAATCACATTCTTCAAAATGGACCTGGAAAATGTGTGATCCCGATCTGCGGGATCGCTGGGCGCTTATCACAGTTTATCATCCCTCCAGCACCCCAGGATGTTGTACCTCCCATGCCAAAAGGCAATCAGCCCAGGTTCCAGTTATTCCAAAATACTGGGTAACATCAGCGCTACAGAAAGCCCATTAGAAACAGCCCATGCACATGAAGCAGTCTTCAAAAGAAAGAAAGAGAAAAAACAGGAGGTATATAAGAAGACTTAAGTCATTCTGAATGTCTACTATGGTTTCTTGAACAGTGAATCAGAGGGGGAAAAGTCTGCCTTCCACAAAAGCAGCCCTCATAAAAGCCACTATGATGAAGTCTCACACAAAAAAGCCTTCCAGAACATCCCCAGCTATCACAGCACGTTTACCATACAGCCACCCGCGCGGGGAGTGAGAGCCCCCACACTCAGCAGGGGCTGTTTGAAAAAAATCTGGTCACTCCCGAGTGACCTTTAGAGTCAGCTTTGTTTCAGAAGCTGAAACCAGGCCAGGCCAGCACTGCCCTTCTGCAGGGTGTTATCCACCACCCAATGAAAAAAAAATATATATGTGTGTCTGATTTGACTGGTAATATTCTAACCATATTTCAACATGCTTCTAAATCATTCAGGTGCATAAGCAAGTTTTCTAAGATGTTTATCTTCCTCCCCTCGCTCCCGACATTTTTGGCAACCTACCCTCTTGTGTTTTGACATCTGCAAGGCTGCATTCCTCTTGCTCGGCTTCAGCGCTCTGTTTAATGTTCTCTACTTCCAGCCAAAAACTGTCCATTGACAAGCCGTCCAAAGACTGTACCCTGGAATTCGTGCCCTCTGACACCGGGGATGCCAAAGGACTCTTCGGAGGAAGCTGGCTCATTTCGCAAGGGCAATTTCTGGTACTGAGAGAGGAAGAGATAAGGAGAGAGAGATTAAGCTACACGTATTCAGATACGCGTTCACAATACAGTCGTCTTTATTGATTAATGACTGCAACAAAAGCCAAACAGAGGTAAGTGCTAGACTTCCTTTGGTTAGTGTTTTGCAATAACAGACAAGGTTGGGATCAAATCCCCTAGAGTAGGGGAAAAACTGCTGTCCAAACATGCGAGAGGACACGGTATCAACACGGGTTTTCCGATGCTGTCCTTCCAGCGACCTCCGAGACACCACCTACCACTCCCACACTTGCTTCCAAGACTCCCCTGCAAACTTGCACCGATACTCTCCACATTCCCAGACAACCAAGATGTTTCAAGCTCGGTGCACATGTGCTCTGATAACCCGGCACGCACAGCAAGTCCAACAACTCCCAGCCACAGCAGACTGAACCCAGTAGGCTTGTCCTCTGTATGCAAAAACCGGCACAGCTCCGTCTCCTGCACTTCAGCTCATGCAATCAACAACTCAGATGTTTGAGGCCCTCTTTTCCTGCCCCGAGCACATTTTTCAGCTGTGAAACAGTACAAGTGTCCTGGGAAACCCAAACATACAGAATTTTCTTACCACCCCGTTGATTAATTCATGGGCAGCCGAAGTCCCAGACTGGCCTCATTCGGCTTTCAACCTCTCTGCAGAAAGTTGTGAGGTTCTCATCAGTTCATAAAATAATGCCTCTCCTAAAATGAATTTCAATTCACTTCAAAGGGGTTGCAAGCCATTTAAACCCTGCTGTATATCTTTTTCAAAGACCTAAAAAAAAGGGATAAGTGGAACCTACTTGTGAAAACACCTCAATGATTCAACTTACGAATACAAAATTAAAGAGACTGCACACTACGCTAACTCTGGATGGTTTGAAAACCACCTGTGAACAGCGACTACCACCAAACACAGATTGGAATTGCTTTCTAGTTTCATGACAAAAAAAAAAAGCAGATCAAGTCTTGAGCCTTGAAAACCATGACAACAAAACAACCACCAAGTGCAATTTAGCCTCCTAACTCTAGAAGGACTTAGAAAGTTATAGATGGCAAAATATCCGGAAAGTTTTAGTTCCTTTCATTCCAGAAAGCCATTATTAGCAATTCTGGCACTAACTTGCTTCTGTTATAAGAAGCGTTTCAAGTCATAAAGGACTAAATTTGAAGATCTAACAACTAAGAGGCGTATGTTGTAGGATATTCTGCACTTATATTTCCACACGTGCATGCACATTATGCTCATACCTTTTTTTTCTCTAACATACACATAGGCAGCCCTTCTCTTCTAAAGGTCAGAACTAAAGCAATAACCATCATTCTAGGAACATCTGGAGCCAGCAATGGCATTGAGAACAAGAAGAAGGTTTTTGTTTGTTTGTTTTATAGGAACACAAAAGTTAAAGATTGAAAAGCTATTACGCCACCCAGCCCACCTCTGACAAGGGCAGAGGTGATCCGCTTGTTCAGTACCCATCCCCACCTTTCCCCCTGCCTTTCCTACTCCTGGATATCCAAATAACAGGCCTCCAGTTGAGATGCCACTTCATAGCCTGGTACAGCACTTAAATAGTCAATCTAAGATTTTTTTAAAAATTATTTATTTATTTAACTGCCATAGTTCATGTCCATCTCTCTCAGTTCTACTACAGCTACCATCCCAAATCATTATTTCCCCTTTCAACTTTTTAGTTATATCTTTACCCATTAGAAGCTAAACATTTAGATCACATCTCTCACATTTAGATCACATTTAGATCCATTTAGATCACATCTCTTCATCTTTAGTACTCCTCTCAATTTCCTCACATTTGCTGACAACCTTCTCATAAGAGGATTAAACAAAGCCACCTTGCTAGCATCAAAAAGGCTGTTTAATACCTTGCCATGATATCTCACCTGAATTCCATTACACACCAGTCAACAGAAATCATCACTTGCAACATGAAACTAGAAGGAGGATTTTAGATTATCTCAAAGGACTTGGTTTTGGCCATATCAGTGCCAGAAACACTGGCAGCCAAACCTGCACTAAAGAGCAGTCTCCCAATGCACAACACTACACGGGCTAAGGAACCATCTTACAAGCTCTCCTAACTGCTCTACTAAAGGTCCTCAGCAGGCACACAGCTACTCTCCTTGCCCTAAGTTATTGCACTATACTACTGTGGGATCTAGGTTATACAGCTCAAAGCAGCTCTAAAATGTACTTTTCCTTCAGGTTCAGCCTGGTGTAGAGCAGGCTCATCTAGCATCCCAGAAATCTCCGTGGATTCACACCGAAACTGCACTTATATCCACGTTTGCAGCTCCAGCAGAACCTCCCCTAGACCCGAGCAGCAGCTTGCACCCAGCAGACGTGCTCTGCGGCACGCACAGCTATGACAATCCCTTCCCCACACCTGCCACCGGCCTGCCTGGAAAAAAACCAAAATTTTAAGCCAACGTAAATACAGCCTTCAGCTCTTTCAAAAGGGTGACTCTTGACTTAGGTGTTCTGCATGACTTACCCAGATACCAGATCCTGAAAGCAAGTTTTAGTCCACGAGATACTACTACAACCACGTGGAGTTAATACTTATCTAAGGCATTAAGGCATATTCCTGGAGCACGTCTGAGAAGGGTCACAACATCCTTCAGTCCAGGTTTCAGGCTATAGCCTTGCCAGCAGCTATTTTTGATCTACCAGCACCTTCAGTCCATGTCAAGACAACAGAGTACTGGTGCAAGGATATAGTTTTGCCAGACAACAGTGAACTGCTGTACCCCTATCCCACTCTGACTTGTGCTTCTGTACCACCCACAGTTGTTTTGCTTCCTTCCACAGCTGGAAATACAGGTGATCTAGTAGTGCTTGCACCAAAAAGCTCCACCACCAGTCACACTATAAGCCTACTATAGGAGAGCCATATTTGAACTACTCGTGCAAACAGCCCAAAAGCCATCCTAACTTTTTTTCTCAAGAACCTCACGGACTGATGCACTAAGCCCTATGTCACCACGGTGCAGGATGCTAATGTCACATAGCAGCTCTACACAGCAGTTACAGGATCCAAAGCCCAGCTCTACAAGTCCTAAGCTAGCGCTGTTGTTCCTGTCTCACGGGACAACACCAAAGCAGAGTCTTCTAATTTAATTTTAAATTTACAAAGTGTTTTATTTTCTGGTCTAAATACTTCTTTTCTTGAACACACTGCTTTACAAATCCAACTACCCAGGTGGCAGGTTAATTTTAGATTCAGTGCACCTAACAGAGAGTTCTTCCTCACTGCATTCCCAAGTCAACTGAGGGGAATCTGTGACGTATAAACATAGCAACAGTTTAGATTAGAAGTGTAGATTGTTGGCTTAAAATGTTAATAGCTCAGTTGCAGCTGGGCAAAGAGTAGGTGGAATAATCAAGTTCATTCAGTTGCACTGTCAATGTAACAAAAAGCTTAAGATTATGAAGTTTTAAAAATTAACCCAACAAAAAGCAAACTGGCAGAAAGATCTAGTTAAGGACAACCATAAAGGAATGACTCTGTGGAAAGACTGACCACCCTAATGCAACCTTCTCTTGTTTAAGAGCAGAGCCGGTTTTAGTGGGGCTCGAGATTCATTCAGCTGACTCAGGCCCTAACACGTTCAGTCTAACCCTGACTTAACATATTAACAGCAGACTTATGAGAAATTAGACTATGGACCTTACATGGTTCATTTTCTTATTATTTCTTCTAGAAATCCTCTCCGCAGAGAGCACTGGTAGCCCTGAGCAAGATTCGCATGCCTGTATAGCACTGACTGAGTGTTGGTGGCTCACCGGTCCTGGGCTAGAATATGAAGTCTCAGAGCAGTTTTTGATCTGTTCCTAGATACTGTCAACACACGGCAAATACACTGCAAACACTCATGCAATTCTTGGCCCTTTTGAATATCAAAATAAAATAAACACTGTTGCTATGCATTTGTTCATTCCAGGCTTGAATCACTCCTCTCAGAGAGCTTCTCAAAGGATCTGTAGCTGCCTAGACTACTTCACTGCTTGCTCAACATCGTTCCCTCACTGAAATACCTCTCTAGCAGATGAATAAAGAATTCTCAAGCATTTCAAATAGAACAGGAGGCGACAAGTGTAAGCCAAGAAAATAGAATTCCTTTAATACTGTTTCCAGAAAAACTATGAGAAAAAAGCAACAAGAACAGAAGAATTAAGTTATACAAGGCAGTTCTTTCACACACAAGCACCTAGTTTTCAAAGGCATTTCCAAATATCTGGGGCAAGGACAAAGGCACACATGAAACAAAGAAATGGATGGAAGGAGTTTGAATTAACCTCAAGAGCAAGTTAGGAGCAGCACCAAGTCACAGCATCATAGCACATCAGAACACCAGCATGAAACACAAGCTCTTTTGAAAGGAGGGGGGAAAAAAAAAAGTGAGAAATAATTCTATCAACTGGTTGCAGTATTTTGACAGATAAAGACACTAAGTCAGAGAACAAAAATACGTCAGCGTCACAACACACGCACATCTTGCCGGATTTCAATTTACTTCAAGGTCAAAAACAATCGACGGGTACAAAAGCACAAGATAAAAAGAAACAAAAAAGTCCACGCAGGAAAAAGCACCTTTTCACTTTGGTTCCAAGTTCCTATCCTGAGCAAGCAGCTTAAACCCAAGCGAAGAACTGTGTAGGTAATTCTGAAGAGAAAGAATCACCTCAAGGTCAGCCCTCCACAGTTCATAACATGACAGATTTTCTTGTTTAAAATCATGTCGTAGGGTAAAGGCACCCGGAAACAACAGACAGGAGTATTGGAAAAGCTGGAGAAAATCCTGAAGCAGTAAGTCACATATCTGTAGCTATATCTATATAAAATATAGATAATTTTGCTTACTGAAACTATTGGAAGTTTAAACCTCAGTCTTTTAAAGACATCAATGTTAATATAAGAACAATTCCTTGTAAGAAAGAAGTCAATCTACTTGTTATC